AAAACATCTGATTTGATCTGACAGTGACAAGTGACGAACAGGTGATGATCAAAGATATAGAGAGACGGACAAAAAGCCTACTGCTGGTCGGCATCAGTGACAGTGGAGCTGAAGCTGTATAATCTAGCGGTGTATATCGGGTTGCATAATGGTAAAATACTGAATAAAATAATATTTAACAATAAAATTATAGTAAACATGATGCAAAAATAACAGTTATTTGCGATAATTTATGAGCTAGCACACAGAGGTCGTAGCGATGAAATTTAACTGTTACACGAGAATATTTAGAATTCGTACTTGTCATCAATCACTACCAACAGTATACTCTAAACTAGTCTGTCCATCTGTTTCCATACCCACGAAATCCACCTGAAAATTTAATTAAATCTGTTCCCTTCTCTTTACCTTCGGCATCGTTTTCATTTCTTGTTCCACCTTCCCCGATTTTAGGTGCTCCCGTCTCCTATACTATCTCGCCGGGGTTGCCAGACGATCCTACATATAACAAATAACACAGAGAATAGTTGATATATTCGTTTGGAAGAGAATTTTATAAAGTAAAAACAAACAGGAGGGTGAGCAGAAATAAACATAAAAAGGGGAATTAATATGTTAAAGTTCAAATTTTGGAAGATTTTGAAATGCTTACATACAGGGTGTTTCAGTTGCAACTCTTACCACTGGAATCTCGGAAAGGATAATAAATACCGAGTAGCTCAAATTGAGACATTAATAAAACAATTATTAAATGTGGCAAAATTAATTTATATTTCTTGAAACATTTTCAATTTACGGTGCTATATTTGAATCCTGTTATACCAGGAACAATTTTGTACTAGAATTCCTTAATTTAGACTTAGTCAAATTTAATACGATAAGAATAATTTATGAAAACACAAGACAATTTTTTATTATATACAATTCAATCAGGTAAATTTATTAAATCTATTGAGGTGTTCATTGAGGAGACTCTTTGAGTGTCTTACACCGTTGGAGGATTCCCATTCGGATGGAGTCTTTCAGGTTCTTGAGTGCCGTTTTAAGTTGGTTTTTACTTGCTGGGAAGCAGAACGATTCTGGTCCAGTTAGTGGAGTAGAAGAGGTATTCAATTTTGGTTGTTCACGTGTACGAGTTTTATCAGTATTCCCATTTAATATAGTCTAACCGAATTCTCCGATAGCTACGCCACTGGGATTAATCGATAACTATGGCAACGTTGCTCCATGCCGTTTCATGCCGTCGGGGGCATCCTGAAGGAAGTTTGAGGGAATTCGCCGTGAATTCAGGACCGGCTGTAGGTAATTAATTTGGACGCGTAGCCTATTCATATCGGAAGACAGAGGACCAGGACAATAGAAGCAAAGTTTTGAGTCTCCGGGTCGCAGATTATCAGGAATTTCTTAATAATTATACATGGCGTCTCTTGGATAACGGTGCAAAAGTATTTTAAAGAGTGGTAGATGTCTGGAATTTTTTAGTGTAGGAGATATTCTGTTAAATATAACTCAAAAAACAGCAGAAAAAAAAACTGGATATCTTAACAATCCTACGTGTAACACATTGCCACGTCCTCATACAGTAATTCATGCAGACATTTTTTCAGTGCATAGATAGATAAAACTATACAGGGTAGTCCGAACTGTATTCCAGAAACTTTGGCAGCATACTCTGCAGATAAAATAATTAAAAAAAATCGTATAAATGAAAGTATAAATGTATGTCCTAAAATGCTTAGTTTCGGAGATACAGGGTGTAGAAATTTCATTTTTATTTCGATTTTTTCCAATTAATTTCTGAAGTAACGTCAATATTTGGATGAAAATTGGTATCTGGGAGATTTTTGACATGAGAAATTTGATGTTGATGTCAATATAACTCCTACTAGTACCTTTATAAAACTACTGCGTAAAAAATATACAATTAGGACGTTTTTTACGCAAAAAATGTCTCTTGGTAAAAATCGCTACGAGCAACCGTAGTCAAGATATTTAAAATAAAAATAGTCAATACATGTCATTAATGACAAAAAAATAAACATGTTGAGAAGATAGATATTTGACTGGAATGATAAATTTGGGAACTTTTTATTTTTTTGAAAATGATGATAAAACACTTTCTGGTGAATATTTGGCACAAATACATTTCAAATTTATGATTTCACTCTAATAACTATTTAGTCAACATGTTTAATTTATGTCAATGATGACAGGTATTGATAATTTAGATTCCAAATATCTCAAGAACCATTACTCGTAGCGATTTTTACAAAGAGACCTTTTTACGTAAAAAAAAGTCGTAAATGTATATTTTTTTACTCAGTAGTTTTATACAGGTACGGACGAAAAGTTATTAGTCTTCAAACCACTTAAAAAATATGTAGGTGGCGCCCTCTACAAGTAGGAGTCATATTGACATCAAAATAAAATTTCTCATGTCAAACAACTCTCATATACCAATTTTCATCCAAATATTGGCGTTACTTCAGAAATTAATTAGAAAAAATCGAAATAAAAATGAAACTTCTACACCCTGTATCTCCGAAACTCAGCATTTTAGGACATACATTTATACGAACTTTTTTACTTATTTTTACCTGCCGAAGTTTCCGAAATACAGTTCGGACCACCCTGTATATTCTATTAAAGATAACTCAATCAAGAAAAAAAACTGGAAGAAAAAGCTGGATATCTTAACAAACCCATCTGATTCTCCCTTTTGCCAATTTTCCAGAATTACCGGCCAATATATTTTCCAGACTCTATCTGTCGTAGTCGGGCTCCCGAGTCCTGGATCTCGATTTTTCTGGATTCTTATCGGGCTTATAGACCGCACGGGCACGGGAATATTATACGCCTGACCGCATTTTCAATCATTTCCCGGCTTTTTTCCCGGTTTACAGGCCATTTTTTATCCATTTTCCGATGTAAAAAGGTCAAATGGTAAATATATAGGCTTCTGTTTTTTAGATATATGGTATAACGTGATTTATTTTTGCTGTAGGTGGGTAAAATTGTTGTTTTTACGGTTAGACCGATTGTTGTAATAATGTAAAATGAAAATGGACACTAATCTAACTACTCTAACATCATTAATGTTATACAGGGTGTCGCACCTAATTCGCCTCGGTTGATCATACGAAAAAGAAAAGATGTAGAAACAAAATTTTTTATAGGTATATGTAGAGAGGCAATGTGTTGAACATAAAATGGCTAGTTTAAATTTCTTAGTTCATAGATTACTTAGTTTCCCACTTTCCAACGAAAGATATGAAATTGAAAGAGATTACATTAGGAATGTAGCTGAGTGTAATGGATATTCTCCTTCACTAGTTGATAAATTAATTAGAAAACGTAGGTATAGGTTAATGATTTTTGAAAATTCGACTTTTCAAGTGGAGAAAGATACGTCTAAATATTTTTCGATACCGTTTGATAGAGAGTTATCCCGTGGTCTAAAAGGAATTTTTAAGAATGTCAATTATAAACTTGTGTATAGTGCTAATAATAAATTACAACAATTATTAGGTAATCCAAAGGATAAAACACCTCCACTGGAAAGGTCGGGTATTTATAAAATTTCTTGTAAAGATTGTAATCAGAAATATGTTGGGCAAACTAGAAGATCAATATTAACTAGATTTAAAGAACATTTAGCTCAGATAAGATATGGTAGACCGGATAAATCTTGCGTTGCCGAACATATTGTTGATAAAGAACATTGTATAGATCTTAATAATTTAAAATTAATTAAACAAATCTCAAATTACAGGCAATTAGATGCATATGAAAGCATCAGAATTAATAAATGTAAAGATAGTATGAACAGAGGCAACGATCCAATTCCTTCAAGTTCTTTGTTCCTACTACTCTAGTGGCGGAAATCTAAGTGTTACGCTCAGTGGGCTCTGACTCGGTTGGCTAGATTTTGCCACGCCCACTCGGTGCCCACTGAGCGAGTATATAAACGCTCAACTTGTAGATTGTACTTTAGTTTATAATCATGTGCTGATGATGCTAACATGGTTAGCGAAACGCGCGTCCAGTGTAAAAGTAAAGGTGTTTTGGTGTATTGGTGTGATTTAGTGTTTTTATTTTGCTGTGTAACACCAAAGGTTCCAACCCTCAACTGTAACCAATTAAGGCAAATTCATTTTCTTAAATACTTTCGTTTACGTCTTCATAACTACTTACTTATTAACCTTATTGCATAGGTAATTTACCTACCCAAAAATAACCTGTAATAAAATAACCCAAAATTATGTGTATTACGATTATGTACCTAAATTCAACAATTTCCGAAAAACGACGTTAGCGATGGCTATGAAATTAATTGGCATTATTGTCACTACAACCAACTGGATACAAAATATATTATTATATACAGGGTGTCCCAGAAATAAGTGCAAGTATTTTAAGGAGTGGTAGATCTCGATAAAAGAAACATATTTTCTCTTTATCGCTTTTCAAATAAGTCCAAAATAACGGAGTTAGTTTACATTGAATATTTCCAAAAAAATGATTTCTTGCTAAAATTTTGAGAATCAGCACTGGATCTTTTCTGGATTTTCTTTCTTGTAAATTTAATCTAATACGTATGTTGGTATATTATCAAAAAATTATGTTTTTTGATTAAAAACTAAAAAAAATTCCAGAAAACTTTTCAAAAATTTTCGAATTTTCCAAATTTTTTTTTCGCGAATAAAACCTCATAGGCGTGTTTCTGGCTACCAGTTAAAATACTTGCACTTATTTCTGGGACACCTTGTATATAGGATATCTTTTGCGAAAGAGATTCTCTATCTAAGCTTCATAAAACTTAAATTAATTAACGTTTATTTTTATTGATGCACTTTTGTACAGAGGCAAATTATTGTGTCCAATGAACTTATTTTCATCCCAAAAATACGTAGTAGTTCTATGCCGACGGAATATTGGGACACCCTGTATATGTATTGCTACTTTATATATTTCTTACTATTATTTTTGTGCTTTTGCAGAGGAATGCCGTTATGCCAAAGGCGCATGGACCGAGTGCGATTCCAAAACCAACCAAAGATCGAGAATGTTGACGCTGAAAAAGGGCAACGCCACCAACTGCGAGCCGACCAAAACGATGCAGAAAAAGTGCAAAAAAGGTAACTGCAATTCCACATTTTTCTGTCAGACGAGTTTTTTCTTCAAAAACATCTGCCACTGTGTTTGGCTTTATAGAGCCACTGGAACTCAAAACGGTTATTCCATTCTAACCGCGCCTTTTTATGTTTGTACTGTTTTCCTTTGACTTGTAGTTAAATTATATTTCTCCATAGCAACTGTTAAAATTGCCTATTTATCAAAAATAGTAGATAAAATAGTACTTTGGCTTAAAAGCCAAGGGTAAATTAAATGATACTTTAACAGCGAGGATAGGTTAAAAACTTTATTTTTTCTCGCACGTTTTTTAATTGATTCCATTTTTGAAAATGTTTGTATTCCTTTTCATAAGTTATTCGGGATTTAAATGAAAGTAGTTTGGATATGGTCTTTGTCGCGTCAGCCTGAATATCTGTTGGTAATTTACTTATTTCGTTTTGAGCCATTTCTGGCTCCAATTCATCAGCAATCGACACGAATAAATAAATAAATAAATAAATGCCTTTATTGTCAAAAAATTTTTCAATTTGTAGACAAAGGTAAACTAACAAACAAACAAAAGATAATACAAAAGATTATAGAAATAATATTGTCAGTTTTATTTTTAAAATAAACATTTATAAATGTTTACAATGTCAAAGAACAAAAAAATAAAAATAATATTCAAAAATATTTAGCTAGTTTATAGTAAAATACCAATGATCTCTAATATACTAATACCAACGATCTATAATAAATTCATTTCGATGTCATTAGTAAATATTAGTGATGGGAATACCGGTTCCACATGAGTCGCGTTACAATAGCAACCGCTCCAGAAAAATACCGCGACAAAATTCCGCGATTTTGTAATCGAGGTTCCAACTTCCTAAGTGTCGCGGTCCTCGCTTTTGTAGTATTTCTGGCATTGGTACCTACTTTTATTTTATACTACCTACTTAGCCCCACAAACCACTGTCAAAAAAAAATCTTTATTAGTGATCGGTTTCGGCAATTCCAGCCATCATCAGACCTTAAAAATAGATATAAACAATAAAACTTATATAAATGTATAAAAGCAAATAAAATTTTCATTTTATTTTATTTGCTGTTACGTTTCATCTTTCAAACAACGCTATTTTATACCATGCTTAGTACAAACCAAAAATCGCTATTTTAAAAGTAACGTAGCGACGGGAGCACCAACGCCAATAGCAACCGAATCAATCGCTACAGGCGAAAACGAAACCCTAGAAGCGCTCCAGCTACCGCTAGAACGAAGTAAGCCGCCTCCGAGGTCGAGCGTCAATAGCCAGTTACAGCAGTTACTTCTGTTCGCGACAAGGAACTAAAACTCTAGGAGCGCGACGGCTGGAGCGAAGTAGGCCGCCGCGCCGCGCCGCCGAGGTCCCGAGCGACGATGCCCAGTTACAGCAGTTACGCGACAGGGAACTACAACTCTAGGAGCACGATGGCTGGAGCGAACACGTCGCCGTCGCCATCGAGATCGCCTGACGCTACGTACAGTTCCAGTAACTATTGTAGGCGACCGACGAAATCGCGACGGCTGGAGCTAAACACGTCGCTATGCGGTTACTATGGTTCAAGCTAACTTCAAGAGCGATTATAAATAAATTATTTGCAAATTATAAATAATTTATAATTATATCGTCATTATGATCGTCGTTCTTCAATAACAGATTCCCCATTCGTTGTGGAGCGCGACACGACGTTACAAAAAAATACCGCTCCAAAATCGCGTTACTCAAATACCGACACATCACTAGTAAATATAGCAATAGCAAACATTATTTTAACCTAGTAACCTAATAACAGTGTTTACAAGATCAAATTCGATTTTCAAAATATAATTCATTTACGGCGTAGAAAGCCTTGTCTAGTAAATAAGATTTGATTTCAAATGGCAGGTGATTGTGCATTTTTTTCGAGTTGTATAATATTGAACTTTTAACTAACTCTGAGCGTGGGGTCGGGAGATAAAGATCTTGCTCCGCGTTCATGAGTGGATAAGTGTGAGATGGCCTTTCTTGAGAAGCTGATACATGTTTACGTATTAGGCAAACGTATTCAAATATAAATAAGGAAGGAAGAGTCAATATTTTTAATTCTTTAAAAAAGTCCCGGCAATGAGTTCTGCTGTTTAGTCCCAGTGAATATCGAACAGCTCTCTTCTGGAGCTTGAAAATGCGGTCAAATTGAGTCGCACAGCACGTACCCCAGAATGGAAGGGCATACCTGAGGTGCGACTAAAAAAGTGCATAATAAACAGTTCTAGCCACTGACAAGTTAAGCTCCTTAGAAACAGACCTTAATGCAAAACAGGCAGAGCTTAATTTTTTCGACAAAGCTTCGATATGTATGTCCCATTTCAGAGAATTGTCCACAACAAGCCCTAAGAATTTTACAGATTTTGCGACGTCAATGGTGGTGTTGTTAAGTACAAAAGGCTGCAACGAGTTTTTATACGACAAAGCTTTAGTTTTAGAAATGTTGAGACTCAGGAGGTTCGAATCGCACCACGAAAAAGAGAATTAAAAAATACTGATTCAAAACTGACAACTAAAGAGACAGCTTTATTTATTTGTCAAATTACATAGAAACTAACGCCAACCCAGCACAATATTTTTTCTACTTGTAATAAGTTCCTTGAAATAATTATTTGTGAATATTTTTTAAAACGTAACTCGCTATGGAAAAAAATATTGTTTTATACACGACGACAAAATTGCATTATGGTCTCATTTTATCGTCTTGTATAAAAAATAACTATTTTTCTCTCAAAAAAAAATATTTTAAACAATTACTTTGTTAATCGAGAAGTACAGAATTTTTTATTAGATATTCTCAGCCGTATTTTTTTTATTTCTAATATAATTACAGTTTTAACAGGGCCTAAATAACTTCTCCCCCATTTCGAGAAAGGCAGAGAGATAATTTTAAAGTTTTTGTTGGCGAAACAGCCCCCGGTTTAGATGCTACGAACGGAATACAAATTTTACGGACTGCAAAAAGTTTCTGTGTTTCTCGAGTTTAGACTCATTAAGCAGCCAAGTGTAAGGAAACTAAGTGGCCGAAATAAGTTAAACGGAGCGAAATAAGAGCTAGTTCACTAAAATTAATGCCAGAAATGTATAGAGGATGTAGTACTAACAAGGATATGAACAGCGTTTAAGTCGAAATAATCTTTTAACGCTTGAGAAGTGTGATATAGCGCCCTAGAGGGATATATGTAATCCTAGTAGTGTCCGTCTAGAAAGTATCCGGAAAAAAGAAAGCAAAATTACAATTATCGATATATATTTTTAGGATTTGAATTAAAACATTATAACAATTTATTAATTTTGTTTACTTATAACAACCTCCAATTAACTCCAAACGCTTAACTAAACGTCCAGGTACACTCGAAACTAGGACCACACCATAATGTTTAGTGGCTTGTAAAACTGACCGAATCAAATCTTGTTTATTTCGTGGAGCTGCTCGTTCCATTTCAAGCTAAAGTATGTAATAAAAAATGGGGGTACCCATTTAAAATAAGAAAGTTGCTGTCAACTTCCGATATTTCCGGAAGTGCCGCCATATTGAAAATATTTTTTATCGATAGATCTCGTTGTGAAACCATGATGTGCATCAAAAAACCTCCGATCTAGATATATTGTAGTTCTCTAGAATGCACGCTCAGCCTGGGACACCCTGTGTATCGCTTTGAAATTTACTAAGTAAACTTTATTTCTTTCATCGGTAAATCAAACATGATTGATGGCGAATTTATTGATCGATTTTCGGCACAAAGATGGCGGCTTTCCGTCTTTGACGACGGATTATGTCTTTAGGGGAAGCTGGCGTAATACGGGATTATAAACTTGAAAAAATACTTGGCAAAGAAAATTTATAAAATCTCTAGTGAGTTTTTTTGAGAACTCCGTTAATAAATTATCTTGAAAATCTATAAAAGAATATGTTTTCAGAGGTTGTGTCTTTTATTAACAGCTAGATTTACTTTTGAAGCCATTTTGTATATACAGGGTGGTCCGAACTACAGGGTGGTCCGAACTATGTTAACGGAAACTTCGGCAGCATATTCTACATATCAAAATAAGTAAAAAAGTTCGTATAAATGTATGTCCTAAAATGCTTAGTTTCGGAGATACAGGGTGTAGAAGTTTCATGTTTATTTCGATTTTTTCCAAATAATTTCTGAAGTAACGTCAATATTTGGATGAAAATTGGTATCTGGGAGTTTTGTGACACGAGAAATTTGATTTTGATGTCAAAATTACTCCTATTTGTAGGGGGCGCCACCTACATGTGTTTTAACAGTTTTGAAGAGTAATAACTTTTCGACTGTACCTGTAAAAAACCACTGACTAAAAATATACATTTCCGTGACTTTTTATGTAAAAAATATCTCTTGGTAAAAATCTGATAAATGATATTTAGAATGGAAATAGTCAATACATGTCATTATTGACAAAAAATAAGCAAACGATGAATATAGTTATTTGACTGAAATAATAAATTTTTATTTTTTTAAATTAATCATAAGCTTTTCTGCGAAAAAATGATGTTTAAACAGTTTCTTTTGAACCTTTGACACAAAAATATTTCAAATTTATGATTTTAGCCTAATAACTACTTAGTCAACATGTTTAATTTATGTCAATGATGACAGGTATTGATAACTTCGATTCCAAATATCTCGAGAACCATTATTCGTAGCGATTTTTACCAAGAGACCTTTTTTATGTAAAAAAAAGTCGTAAATGTATATTTTTTTACTCAGTAGTTTTATACAGGTACCGACGAAAAGTTATTACTCTTCAAAACAGTTAAAACACATGTAGGTGACGCAACCTACAAATGGGAGTCATGTTGACATCAAAATCAAATTTCCCATGTCAAAAACACCCATCCACTAATTTTCATCCAAATATTGACATTAGTTTAGAAATTATTCGGAAAAAATCGAAATAAAAATGAAACTTCTACTCGTAGTATTCTA